TTTTGTGTCTCAGGGTAGGGCTTTCAAAAGCACTTTTCAAAGAGAACACTCAAGAAAAACAAATGTACTTTAATTTGGGTACAATGCCCAGACTGCACCAATAATTTTAAATGATTTATGAATTTGTAATAAGAGTAAGTGAGGAAGAATGGTTCTGGTCCTCATTCTGTGAAAGGTCTTATGATAGCTATAACGTCTTTTTTTATAGTTTTCATAAGATATTTACATTAATCACGTAAATAATGTGAGCAGTATAGCAGGTTATAAATAAACAATAATGGCCTACCGAGATAAGTTGTCTGACAGATTATTTGTGTATAGATACTGATACTGACAAGGACACATGTAGACGATAATATGAGTTATCAGTTGCTTCTTCCGGGAACTTGTTTATTCGTCAGTTCAGGTGAAATTGGACATGGCCAAGAAAACCATGAATTGTGAACGTACCAACTAAAACCTCACCTTTTCACGACTAATATAATTAAAGAATACACAACAGGTTTTGGAAAAGAGACAGTTCCTTTATTGCGATGATGAAGCTCACACTGATGTGAGTGAGTGACCTCGACTTTACGTCTCTACTAGCATGTACTAGTATTTAACAAGCAACATCGAGCGATGTCACGGTTGGCAACCTCAGACACAGGCTGTCTTCACATTTGACCACATTAGTACATTACGTGACGGCAAATCGGGCAACCACTGTAACCACTCGGCTACCCACTGGGTACCACATAACATTAAACAAACATTACTATAGGATGCTTGCCAACTGGGCTGGCTCATGTGAACTATATTGCAGTGTTGTAAGTAGAAAATATCAATGTTCAACCTTATTGTTCATTGCATGGCTTTCGTGCAGTGTTATGTTCAGTTGAGATCGTTAATATATTTTGTGAATGTCGAAGTTTTAGAACATATCTTGTATATTGTTGTCGTCATGGCAGTCTCTAAAATACCCAAACAATAAATTCCCAGGTTACAGAGGAATCATTAAAGCTGAATTAACCCCAGAGATTATCTCACAACCAAAAGTTGTCCCTCTACATGATACCACACGTTGCCAATATGTCGGAAATGTTTACACGCTGATTATAACATAAGGAGATTTATAATAACGAGATGATTAGTATATATTCAACATTGATGTAACTGGAAACAGGGAACGACATATTTTCACAGACGGTTATGCATGTGGGTGAACGAGCAGATTAACGATAAAGGACAGTTTTAGGCCAAAGGTTAAATGGTTGATGCAACGGACCAGGACTGAGAGGATCACACACCACGCAAAATTATGAAATCAATAAACTTGCTTCTTGGGGTGTTGTATGCCCGGCCTATTAGTTTCTTATCGTCTAATGTTGGCATATAATCAATTATTGACAGACTGTCTCCATCAGTGCCTCGGGTTAGGATGAAGACAGCGATTAGAAACGGACCTGGCGCAGTTCAAGTCTCATTAACACAGTGTTTTGGACCAGTCGAATAAACTATAAAGACTGGTCCGATAGTTGATAAATACAATTTTATTCAAATGGAATAATTAAACATTTATTTGAATCTAGTGTGAATGGAGTTGTGTGGAGTGGAGCTGGTAGATATGAACCTCTCAGCATGTTCTGACCATTCCGGAGCCTGGTGGTGAAATCCACCGCCTGTCACTGGGATTAATTTTGCCATCTTGTTTCAAATTAACCGACCACATTGCCTCCTCCCAAACCTCTAACACCCACTGCTTACTGTCTCTACATTGCTATATTACTTCTAGAAACGCTATAAAATAGACGTGACTCCTTCATCGTAGCTCTCCAAGACAACGAAACAAGGAACGGATGTGCTTCAGGTAGATCCGTGGCCTATCGTCTAAGTCACTGAATACACAGTTATCATTCGTTCACTTGGCCATCGCTGTTAATAAGATAACTCTCATAAGACTATGCCTTTGTGTCAAATGGTTGCCTTATGTATTTAACCATTGAGAAGCTCATTTTAAAATACCAGGTCGCACCAGCCTTATCCGGTGGGATTTGTAAGTCTACATATTATAATCAAGCAATATTACATGTGTAGATAGCGGAGTGGAACCACATGCTTCATATACTCTGATATATAACGGCCCTTATCGGAGCCAGAATCTTCTGGTCGTTGATTCGAATCCGATATAATCGGATTATATAATCATTGCGCTGTTGGGACCTGTGTCATTTTTATTGGTTTCAGTAAAGTCGACGATCTTCATCACGGGGGACATTTGTTTCTTGATTTAACTTTAAGGACGTGATGTAACTAAACTACATGCATAAACACTTCACGCTTTTATTTCATACCTACATGAGATGTCAGAAGTTTCTATTATACACACCTAAACATTAAAATGAATGACAATTACAGTACAAATATTGATTTTTTTCTTGAATACAATACTTGATTTGAAACTCGTTGAGATTATTTGACTTTACAATAGAATCATAAATGACAGACAGTGTTTCAGTTGGAGTGTCAAGACTGTTTCAGAATTATCTCCCTTGGTCGTTTAGGCGGAGTTACTGACACTGCATGTTGAAACTATACATGTCACCACAAGGGTTTTAATATAAGGTGTGTCAAATACTTCATGTTGCGCTGGATGTTACATAACAAACAAAGACGCATAGTGGATGGCCTAAATACCCCCTACCCGTGGATCAAGTTGGTGCAGGGCGTGCATGTTACTCCTTGTCTAAACCCCACCAGCCTTTAAAGACAGTTAAGGTTTTGTCCCAACAAAGGCAGGTAGGAGATGAGAAGGCTGGGTTTTTCTATTATTCATGTCACCGTTAATTCGTAATTGTAAATATGTAAACTGAAACCACCAAACTTCATTCTACAATGACAGACACGTCCGTGCTACTGTTAACGTTAACGCCGACAGAAACATGCGGAAGTAAGTATGTACAACGGGTTCAAGCTTGTGGGACAGAGAGTTATGCGATGTGGTAGAATTTCAGCTGAGTTTGATATATTTCCCATTAATTAATGAGACGAGTGAATATTGCTTTTTGATGTCTGTAAATAATTAAGTGTACCAAACAGGTAGTGGCATATCGGGATACGATGACATAGACAGTCAGCACGTACATGTAGCGTATCTACCTGGTCTCTAGTAGATTCCTACAAGAATATACTCATACCAACTGCCATGGATCCCACTTTTTACAAACTCTTTCTTTTTTTCCCCAAGATTTGACACTTTCTATTTTCTTTCATATTTTTTCTTTCAACTTCCTGGTTTCTTTAAAATGACCTGATGATGGGGTATTGAAGGTGTGTTATCTTGGACTTGATTACAAGAACACAATCAGTTTAGCTGACTATGTAGCCATATTGCAGAATAAGAAGAAATGAATAAAAGAATATCGGAGACATCCTCTGTGCATGTTGTCGTAATGTGCAATGGAAATTATGTTGTTGCAGCGAGGAATGCATCAAACATTATATCGGAATGGTCGATAGTCCCGAACGCCGGCAGAACGCAGTAGTCTTATCAGTGTGTCCATGCTGATGCGGTTGCCCAACGCTGCTGATGCTGTTACCTCACTGTGAGCATCCGGTTGCGCTGCCGGAGATGGAGATGTCTGGCCAGACTGGTTGACGCGTCCCCTTAGTCTGATGATGGACGAACGTTCTGACAACCTGTCTGTTCGAAGACCCCATCTGCGACATTCCAATGGCTTGTTCTCGCTCCACTAATGATAATCTTGGCAATATGATGTGTGCCTTTAACAGGTACACCACTAACAATCTCAGTCGATCGTGTTTTATACAACTGGTGCATATATGAATATGTTTCAACAAAATCATGATTTTCATGATATCCTTTACAACGGTAAAGGATATCTGAAGTGTTTTGGCAACACTGTTTGGCAAGACTTGTAAATCACAATCAAACACTTTTCAAAATATTTAATAACCCCAAACAAACAGGGGTGTATATGACTTATGAACCTTTAGTTTACGTCGTATTATCAATATTGCAGATACACTTTCAACCAGCTCAGTAGACAGTATCACATCCCCTACACAGTTAATCGTGTTTCAGCATCAGCACACACGCACACGCACACACAAGCACTCGCACACGCATTCGCACATTTAGGTACAGAGTTGAAGCAGGACACCGAACCCTGCCATCCCATGAAACACACACCGATCACACAGTAGAACAAACTACAAAAACAAAACCGACGGTCCTGATACATTCTCAGCTCATCAAGTGAAAGTAGGAAATGAAATTGTGAAATAAGGATGTACAGTTATTCTACAGTAACATATGGGGGTGATACCATCCTCCAGTGGAGGGTTTCGGACGTAACCGGGCAGTGTAAATTAATGAAGTACTATCACAGGATGTCGAATTCTGCTGCAAAATGTCTAAACCGTTACGTATGTCTTCAAAGGATAAGTAATCACGTTGATATGTAATCATGAAGGGCAAGCTGCTTTGTCCTGCTTGAATGAAGGCAGATCCGTCTTGGTCTTTAAAGGTATAGATGTCGCCAGATTGTGAATTATACATGAGTGTGAACAAAGGGTATCAAATAACGAAACGAAATACAATGTAAATCCATACGTCTTGGGTTTTGGAATGTCCCTATTAAATGAGTGTCAGACCTACATCCTCCACAGATGCCTCACAACATCATCAACCCTACGGTGGCCATCGTCGACAGAATTACGAATCCTAGATGCCATACATGGGAGATTTGTTATCATTTTATATCAGAATTTATTCCAACTTGCGATAAACCGTGTACTTGAACATTGCTACGATGTTACACGATATGAACTGTGCCGTTCCGTGAGTGAGCGACGAAATGTGTAAATTGATCTGAAGTTTCTACCAATGCTTTCTTTAAACATCAACATTGTCAAGGCTTTCTTTAAAAATCAACATTGGAAATAAAACAATAGTAAGTCACAGTTGTATAATATTCAGATAAGAATATTAAACTTACCCAAAACAAGAAATTGAATACGATGAAGCATGGCCGCACACATCCGGACACCGCCATGGTAATCCCTTCAACTAGGAAATCTCAGGTAATGTCGTGATCAGTGGTCGTATACTCTCCGCGCATGCGCCAGTCCAGTGCCAGCAAACATCGGCACTATCGCGATAGCTTGTTAATGAGAGGTCTCGAGACTATGTTCAACACCAATTGAGACAGGACGGCCTCGCTCCCTTTGTTGTCCCGCTATACATGACTAGAGACACACACAGCATGTAAGCACAGCCTTCTATAGCCACTTTTGTCAAGCTAAGTCAAACATATTTGTATGGCTTTAACGTTACCATTTGAGCCCGGCAATATCTTTAATAGATTGGTTTGTTGATTTTATGTTGGAATTCAGTGTAAATCTGCATCGTGCTGATAGAGGAAGGGTACTTGGATATTTAACTGTGAACGAACTGAACGTTTGACAAATACGGCTTTGTGGCGTGTCGGGGGACGAACCCAATATCCGGGGCGAAGTCACTGAAGGATGACATCTATCGACAACAATTTCAGAAGGACTGAAACCTACTGACCTTGTGATAGACAGATCTATATAACGACGTAAAAGTAGGGAAATGATGGGGAATACTTTGACCTGACACTCGTTGGATTTCAGATGAATGAAATAGACACATTCCGGCAAGGCTAGGATAGGTATTAGACGTCGCTTCGGGCCAAATGCCTCTGCAAGTCAATCCGTAATCTATCCCCAGGCATTCGACCTTTCTCTTCATGGCCCCACTCTACAAAGGCGTCGACATATTTTCATGCTTCCGTTTTGTCGGTCAACATATTCGAATCAATGTCCAAACATCATTCGACAAGGGTAAAGGTAGCCATTTCACGGTGAGTAGGGAGTTGTTTGTTGCAGGGAAAATAACACGCAACAATCAATAGCACCAGCATGTGTCTGTGTATTTGGTGAGATGTTCAAGAATTGGTCATGGGTAAGAGTGAGTGAGTGAATGAGTCAGTCAGTGAGTGAGTGCCGCTTTCAGGCAATATTCCAGCAATGAATACCACAGCGGGGAACACCAGAAATGGACTTCACACATTGTACTCATCTGGGGAATCGAACCCGGATCTTTGGCGTGACGAGCGAACGCTTTAACCACTACCCCACCGCCCCGTGGGTAAGAGAGTCCTAGTTTCGTGTAGTAAGAGATACATCGGAGTCCCGAGGTTCACCGAATAGTTGTCGAGTTATCCGTTGTTCGAGACAAGGGAACAAATGTGAGTCCGTTGTGCTAATGCTGATGATTGTAAACGATAGCTCGAGATATCCGAGTTCCAGATATCGAGGTTTCGCTGTATGGAAATACGATGTTAGTCGCTGTCAAACATTACTGGGTAAATCACAGCTGAAGTCCCTTAGTACAGAAGGTCACAGGCGAGGTTAAGTGTTGATAGTTGCGGAGAGTCCAGGGATGGATGACCGTGTCCAGGAAATGGCTCTTAATAGTTTCCGGGGCTTTAGTCCTGCCCCACACTGAAGCTCACGTAGCATACGTGGAGTCTCCTTGAACAAGGGATAATGGTCCCAGCAGTGAATGGGTACCCGGTACGATGACATGATAATGTGACTGTTAATCTTGTAGCGCCAGACAGGGCTTCAGCTGTATAGTTCTCGGGGCGATCAGACTGAAATAACACGTACACACAGATCCACTGACCGCTGAAACAATAATACAGTAGGCTTCGAGCACACACGGCGAATGAACTCGCAAGCGGGTTATAAACTTTGTACTCCCTGCTCACGGTCGGAACAGTATTTTCCACTGCAGTATAAACTGTATCATCAGTTGTTGCAACGCTGTATATAAGTAACTGCTTGTGGCTTTACTGATTGGGTTTATACATTCATCACCAACGTCTGACACAAAAACTCATTCATGGCGACCTTTTAAATATTTTATTCAAAAGGATAATTGTCATGTCAACCATATACGTCTGTGTCATCAATAAAACAGCTGTCCTTAATTACAAGATCTCAATCCCCAGATGGCCGCGCTAACGGAAAACCCCAATCTCCATTGTTTTGTACTTATACTTCAAGCCACCCTTAACGACCCGTGCATCTGTTACCCTCTTACCTGCTTGACTGGCGTTCTAGTCTTTGGAGAGTAAATCAGAAAACAAAATGGATAACAAATTATTTCTGGTTTATGACATTTATCCCGGACTGGTTAAAGGTTTTGGGATATCTGTCTCTTCAAACACAGAAGTCCATCAGTGGGTCCACAACACTTTATTCGGCAACTAAGTATGCAATTACATGGTAGTGCAGCAACGGCCAGGCGGCATCACAGAGGCGATCATCAGCCCACCTGCCTAGCCGCTGTCCGAGGGTCAAGTCCCGTTACATTAAGAATTCATTGTCTATATACTACTGACTGTCAGGCTGCCCTGTATCGTATTACGATACATGTATGGTCAGCCTGCAGTATCCAGCATGCACCTCATCCACAATGTTAAGCTTCCGTGGCCGACCGGTCATACCCTAAAGTTAATAAGGGTTAATTACACGCAGGCAGCTGATCTGTACATGGCTGTGCTGATGGTCATGATAATAAGCTGCTGATATTGCATGTATATTGTCAGCACTGTGATTTAGATTTAGATAACACAACTTTAACTTAACTCAGAGAATATACAAACATTTCTATATTTCCTGATAAAACCCATACCCCATCAAAGTGCCTACGACACATTTAGCGACGTTTGAATGTAGATTCCTCCATCGTTATCAAACTGGATACGACGATACATGCAATGACGAAACATGCAGTTCTTTATCCTTAAACCTGAATGTCTTCTTATGTGGCACACTTCATTATCACTGTTGTTTAGAATTATTAGCGTTGATCCGACATTGGCAATCAAAGCATCGATCCGAAAAGACAGACTACCAGAATGCGAAATTGTTCTATTGTAATCCATCTCAAAATGGGGAGGTACTGCCAGGCCGACAATCTGTTTAATTTGTCCGTTTCAGTCCCATCTAGCAAGTCGGCCTGGCGCAACATTTTACCCTTGCCAATTTATAAAGCAAACATATGTTATATTTGGGATTACACTTTCTCAGTACAGTACAGATTCTAGTACTTTAGTTTGGTTGAGTCCATTTACTGAGAAAGTGTACTCCCAAATATATCATATGTTACATTTGACCACTTTCTAAATGGCATTGTGTATTCACAATTTAAAAAGGGATTGGCGAAACAATGGCAGTGGGGGGATTAAATCTGGGGGACATGTAAAACAAAAGTTGGGGGAAAGCTATTTACGACAGGCAAGATGATGCGTTTATTCACAGTATGTAATATTGTAATTACATCATCACACAAACGTACATTTTATACACTTGTTCGTTCATTTATTCACATTTGAAAAGGTTGAAAAGGTTCTTGATAGTCTCAATGGTCTCTTTCACCTGTCTAAATGAATTGAAAACTTTTATAATGTCACGAGATAGGAGATAATCTGATAAGTGTTATACCCAAAACTGATATACCATAGCCAAAAAATATGAAAGCTAATATTGAAAAAATATAATCTCTTAAAAAATTTAAAGAAGATAGATCGAGGACGAGGAGCCCAGTTGGAATATAAAGATAGCACTGAAAATAACAGTATTTCTAGAGATATATGTTCTTGACCAAAAAGTATTTCGATATTGTGTGTATGTTATATAGAGATGCGCGACATACATACATGCATGTAAGGAGATACATAAAGAAAGTATGTACATCTTGTACATATTGTAAAAAATACATTCACTCTCTGGAAACATCATCACCTTTCTCCGCTTGCTTTAGTCTCTCTCACAGTCCCTAAATACATGTAATGTGTGTTTCTCCTTCGCTTGCTTTAGTCTCTCTCACAGTCCCTAAATACATGTAATGTGTGTTTCTCCTTCGCTTGCTTTAGTCTCTCTCACAGTCCCTAAATACATGTAATGTGTGTTTCTCCTTCGCTTGCTTTAGTCTCTCTCACAGTCCCTAAATACATGTAATGTGTGTTTCTCCTTCGCTTGCTTTAGTCTCCCTCACAGTCCCTAAATACATGTAATGTGTGTTTCTCCTTCGTCTTGTCCCTAAATTAGTCTCGCTTGCTTTAGTCTCTCTCACAGTCCCTAAATACATGTAATGTGTGTTTCTCCTTCGCTTGCTTTAGTCTCTCTCACAGTCCCTAAATACATGTAATGTGTGTTTCTCCTTCGCCTAGGTTCTTCTTTAATGCTGAGTGAAGCAATGCTAGATTTTAGTCTGAGTCCAATTTCACCGGAGCTCATTTTCAATTTCAATAGAGGTTTGCGTTTTTAAAATGTTATGTACCCCGAGACCTAGCGTTAGTATACCCTTTGGCTCAGGGGTAAATTGAGTCGCGGTACTCCCTGATGCCGGCCATCAAAATGTCGTCCATGTTGTGAGAAGTTGTGTTCGGCCAGCAACTGACACACGATGTACCTTCACCAAGCCTTAGTTCTGTCACAGAACATAATTGTTAGCTTTAACACTGCTTACAACAGTATTATTTACCGCTAGGTACAGCAGGAAAATATGATATCGTCCTTGGACCAAACACACCTCTCCCCATTGACCAGTCTCGGTTGCCTTACCACAGACCATTACATACTAACGTTACCTTCATTCTTTGATGAAATGCCAAGAATATCAATTACCGGAATGTACATATTCTATATAGAACATATTGATATTGGCCTTTTGGACAACAGCTACTGCTGGTCGAGAATTTGTCACGCAACTGTGCCAATGTGGTGTCGCTGTCAACGTATAACAAACGTTTTCGAACGCCTTGGTGGAACTGAAAGGTTCTACAATTGTGTACAGTAACAGATTAAACGAAAGGTTGGCCATTAACGAAAATATGTTTTATCAGGTGTGACGATTCAACAGATGAACATGACAAAACAAAATGCATGTATTCAAAATCCTCTCGTTGTCCAAACGCTGTTCCAGGATGGCACGTGATTTCAGACGTCCGTGACAGCTGAGACCATAACAGTGCCTGGTGAGGAAGATTAATGACCTATGATAATATCTACAAGATGACGTCACAGTTCACTGAAGTTTT